GCCCATGACTTGGCCCTGACTTTTACTAAGAATACACAGGGCTGGATTATGACACCCGGCCGCCCTGCCCTATGGCAATCCAAGAGGCCCCATCCCGTAAAACCCATTATTATTTTCACAGAAGGGACACTGACTATAGAAACCCAAACGCTTTAGAAGTGCATAAAAGGCGCAGTTGTAAAAACAGACTAATTCTCTAACTAACCCGCGTCGGCAACGTTGTTTCAAAGTAACATCCGTTCATCAAGGATTCCTTCATCAGTCAATATGAAAACTCTAGATCCATTCTCATTTTGACTCCAAAACAATGAATGATTGGAGTTTTTCTTTTGCCACGCTATAAAAATAGTGAGGGTTCCCAAAACTCACAGAGAGAAGCCAATACAAATCTATCCGCCTCCGATCCATGTGACCCGTGTCCAAAGGACAATCAATTGCAAACTCTGTCAGGTGAAGCATGGGTAGCACATGAAGCAGAAAGTGACGAGCTCCGTAAACTACACACTTGTAGGTATGGACAGAGCACACGCAGAAGGAACTTAAGCACTGGCATTTCAGAAAATCCAGAGCAAAGGCGCTCTGGGACGGAGCGAGCTGGACCGTAAACAAAAGATGGCGGCCTTCTAGCTATTACCAGCCAAGGGGGTCGCTCTACGTGCCCTCGTTCACACAAGTGTGAGCTTGGCAGGGTTGTGTCTCACCACTGCCATCTCCGACCTCCCTTTCCCCCCAATTTTATCATTCGTGAGATTATCCGTGTATTTGTTTATTTAAATAAGCGAGGAAGGCGCCCTCAGAAGTGAACCATAGCAGCTGGCCAGCAAAACGCTGCCTTAGGAAATTGATCGCAGATTTACTCCAAGCACTACTCATTTTACAAGGCCAATCACCTGTTTTTTTTCTCAGCCCTGGCCTCCCGCCTGTCAACCGGGAACAGTTAGCGAAGGGTTTCAGAGGGGGAGCTGTGTTAGTCTGTAACTGGGAAAACTGAAAAAACAACAAATATTCCTGCAGCATCTTTAGAGACTGACAAAACACGTAGAGCAGTGGTCACCAACCAGGGGACGGGGAACGACTGGTAGAGCCTGGAGCCTCTGACCGGTGATCCTCACTGGTTTGGCCAAGAGGCTGTGAAGTGCTGGTATTCAGCTGTCCCTCCCCCCACTGCTGCCCTTTGCCTTGGAGGTATCCCCTCTCCCCCCGGCCCACCCCCCGCC